ATCTGATTCAACTACGACTTGAAAGTAAATTGAAACAGTAGAGGAATGGGATAATAGTAGATAGCTCCATTGGGTGATGGGGTAGAGAGGTGCTGGTCCAAGCACAACCAAGATGTGCTGAATGATTTCCTTCCTCTGGGGCTATCACAACAACAACTTGCATTTACATTGAGTTGTGACAAAAAGTCATTGACCTGAAATGTCAACTAATTTTCTTCTCTCCGTGGATGCTGCCTGACCTGCTGGGTGTACCCAGTGACTTCTGTATTTATAGCAGATTTTCAGTACTTTGCCTTTAGCATTTACATAGCAACCTTCACCTGGGGTAGTGCCTCAGAGTGGGGAAGCACTGTGACTGTGAACGCAAGCAAGTTAGGAATGAATCGTAGAGATGGAAGGATAGATTAAAATAATAATGATGATTTTGGAGCGTCTGCTTAATTATCTTTGCGGTTCAGGAAATATCCACGCCATACATTCCTCCAGGAGATAGAGAAGGTCACATGGAGCCTATAGTGAATTAGGCTTGATGGGCGTCAAATGCCTTTGTTTGTTCTGTATTTTATATGCCTTTTTACAAAGGTATGTTCAAGGCACATGAGCTGGGACCTTTAAGAGTTACAGTGCGTTACGGGCAATACAATTTATATTTATACAGGGTCTTTCACCTTGGGAGGATGTCTTAATGTACTTTACACTGCTGGTTGAGCAGCAGTGTAAAGCCAGGGAGGTGGGGGTTTGAACTGAATACCGCAGAGAGGGAAAGAGTATCAACGAAGTAAATCTTGAGAATGGGCTTTGAATATGGGAACGGAGGGATTAAGTCGGAGGTACTCAGGGATGGATTTCCAGAGGGTGTGGTCTGAAAACTCGCCCACAGATGGGGCATAAAGCGTTTGAGACAATACAACCAATCTTAAAATGTATTTTAATTATTCAGTGCAATGCCATTGCAGCACTCCAGTGCACTTTGCCATGGAGTGATAGGAGATGGTTTTGCACCCAGGATTCTCTTCTGGGGTTCCTGATCTCAGCGCGAGGCAATGCGGAGATGCCAAGCCTCATTCTTCTCTATAAGGAGGGAGGAGTAACTAAAATTGCTCGCCTGCAACTCCTAGTGATTGGTTACAGGATGATATGCATTGACAAGAGGCCTTAGAGCTGGTTGCCTGTTCTTGCGTTTACCATACAAATGGTTTACGGTTCAAGGAGACGTAAGACTGGGCGAAGGGGAACGGAATGAGCAAAGGAATATAAAATAAATTACTTTATTAAAGAATTAAATACAAGAACATTCTCAAATTCTTTACATAAACCAACTTTATTTGAATGGTACACTTTAATATTATAATATAAAATACTGCTTTGTTTTCACAATATATAACATAACAATAGACGCCTTCCTATATTAAACACCGGTATTTACATATTTTCCGTTCAAAGGTACAACAGCTGTCGAGAATAATTCTGGTAACAAATTACTTTTAGCTTACAATGTTTCCAACCAGGATTATTCCGAAACAAAAAATACAATTTTGTGGGATGTAGGAAAATAAGAATTCACACAGGTAGAAAACTAACAAATTTACCCGATAAAACCCCTGTTGTACAGAGAGATTGGGTTTCTCTCTAAACTCAGTTTGCCCCCAGACTGCTGCCTCCACAATTCAGTCTGGACCATGACGTGCGGACACATGTTTGTAGGATCTACAAGGTAACCCAACCTCTCCTGTTTACATATTTCATGTGTCACACTAGACTGCAGAAACATTCTGCAAAGGAGGCAACCTGGATGCACATCTCTCTCACACCAGACATTGAAAGGAAAATAATCTGGCATCAAAGTCACATTCAGACCACCTTTACAGAGTAAAGCGTTTCAAGCCTTAGGTTGGGTGACATCCAGAAAACCCCTGACTGTACCTTTGAATCTCTTGCAAATGAGAGATTTATAACCACTTGGCAATCGCTCTTTAATTTTACAGTACTTTAAGAAACAGGTGTTGAAAGTTATGGAGAGATTTTGAACTCCCAGGCAGTGGCCGATGACTGACCTCTCCCACATCACTTATTATCTTCTTTAAATGAATTCAAATAAATACACTTACATTTTAATGTTCTTCAGGGGCCTCTTAAGTATTCATTTTCTTCAATTATAACTTGCCAAGGCTAAGCAATTGGCATCCTGCCTTGTGAAGAAATCCTGCTTCATTTTACACTGCTGTGGTTGACAGATCACTTAACAGGATGATTATGAGGTACAGTACTATAAACCAGAGCTCCTCAAAGAGTTACAGTATCTCTGAACACCTGAAGCTGATAGTGAATCAGTACTCAAAAAGGCATGCACATAAAAGGGAGGAAATAGCAGTTGCAGCCAGTCTGTAGTCACGAGCGTATGTGTTTGTAATCTACAGGCCGTTGGCAAGGTAACGTCAGCTACTGTTTATACAATATAGATTCACATTCTTTTAAAAAAACAAAGTAATTCAACATATGGACGCCAATCAGCATATGCTGTGTAAGAGGATACCTGTGGCGGGCCGGATGGTCTGCAGGTTACAGACTTTGTTTCTGTGAAGATTAAGTTAGTCCAAGACAAGAAGGAACAGGTTCAGGGTTGTGAAGGGCACATTTAGGACAGACACAGGAAAGTGTTTATTTACACAGAGGGCAAGCAGCAGCTGGGAAAGGTTACTGAGGAGGGTGGCCCAGGCCAGGACACAGGTTTCAGCTTCATGTCATAATGCAAGGGCGATAGATACGGTTGGTATTCGGTAAGAAAGAGGTTTATGGGGGCCTTTCGCATTCAATCCACCCGTGTGATCCTATGGTTCTTATTGAAGTCGACAATCTTAAAAAGAGGAAACCAAAATGTTATCTGCCTTTTTGGGGGATGATTCTTCAAAATATATTTTTCACCCACAAAATATTACAGTCAATTCACTTCGCAGTATATTCTATGAAGCACTTTGAGATGTCCCAACGACGTAATAAGGCACAATATCAAATGCAAGGAGTATTATTATAGAACACTGTGCCAAGGATGTTAGGGAGTTCCCATGAATTTCTGGTCTGTTCCTATAGGAAAGGAGTGGAACTTTTACTGGTCACTGAGCCATATCATGAATAGCAATGGAGAGGCAGATCGTTCGATCACGTTCAACAACTGTGGATGCAGAAAGATCGAGAGAGAAAATAACATTTTTTAAAAAAAGGAACTAATCTATTTTCTCGGTTTCCTCACTTTATCGCTTCTGGGGAATGGCAACTCATGTCTTTACATGCTTTTCATTAACTTAACAGGAGCTTATACCTTTATAAGTATAAGACGCCGTATAATATCTGTACAGGAATGGCTCTGGCTTGAAGGACTCCATTCTGAATCAAGTTATAATTTAAGACACCTCTTCCTCTCCCCTCATGTGGATCCAATTCCTCCATACATGGCTTTTGTCCTACAAGGATTAACTATAGACTTTATCTGCCCTGGAGGAAGCCCCAGTTCTGCTCTGTAATCTTTCCAAGCGATGTCAATCTGGTGGCTTCCCATCACTAGGCTTATCCCACCACTGTGCCTGTAGGATTCATTCTGAATGAACTAAATCCTCCAGCAGCGTAAACTCTGCAGGCCTCTGAATGCTTAATGCACCAATGCAAATCTGACATGAACCCCAACAGTTAATTCACTCTACAGTGTATTCTGTGAAGCGCTTTCCAAGACATCTCAACAACGTGATAAGGCACTAAATCAAATGCAAGGATTATTATTATAAACATTAATGTGACTCTACATGAGTCAGTGAGCAAGTGTTTTCTACACCTGCCTTCTTGAGAAGTGCTTTGTCTTCATTTTCCGAAGACACATTATGTTTTACCTCCGAAAAATCTCCCCACCTTTGCCCATCCCCCTTTTACAGTGAGGCCTTACACCTTGTGACACGGCCGAGAGTTAAGAGAATTCCTCAGGGGTGAACCCCTTTGTGCCCAGTCTCTGTTGTCATTGGGGAACAAGGTCGAGTAAAACACTTTTTGGTTACTCGAAGGGTGAAGCACGATGTTGGAAAGAGCTCAAGTGACACAGCAGTGGTGACGTTACACCCAGTTCTATGCAAATTGAGTTCCCAGTTAAATGTGTGCCATTAAAGAGAAGCATTAAATGAAGCCCAATGCTTTACCCCAGAAGGTGAGTAGCTTGAGGAGATTAAACCTGAGAGGCCAAAGGGTTGGTTATCTGGTTGAGAAAAGCCATTCAAAATGCAGACTGTGAACCTCTGGCAGACAGTTAATGATTTTTTTAAAAAAATGAGGGTTTTTTTGAGCCCATTTCAAACTGGAAATATTTCAATCAAACCTGTAACCTGATTATATTGTTGCGAAACTGTCCACAGACATCCTCAGTATGAAAATGACAGACGTTTTTATGTACAATCCTGTGGTAAGCTCTGTATGACCAAATGTAAGCAGGAGTGCCCCGATGACACACTCCTGTCCACATTACGCAGCAGTGAGGCAAGGAAGTGTAAGTATATGTTGTAGCTTGTCCCACGTTGAAACCTTCCTTAAATATAAAACAATCAGTCCTTCAACGACCCAAACACTGACAACATCTGAGGATGTGAGCAAGCAGCAAACATTAATATTGCCTACAATTGCACAGTTCTGCATTCAACCACAGAAAATAGTAGTGATCTCTTTAATAAAATGCAATATTAAGAAATTTAGTGTAAAAGGCAGTAATAATAACATATTTATATACATAACTTTTATACACAGGCAATGCAATGCAGATGGTCTCACAAGAGGAAGACTGCTACTTTTAGACAAATTTTTTTCATGGGTGTGGAGACAGAAGTTTGCATAAGTTTTTTAACTAATATCAGCAGTTTATAGAATGTATCTTGAAATGATTATTGTTATTAATAATAATCATCTTTGCAGGTAATATTGCGACTTTCATGTCGGGAGAACGTTTCAAAGGGCTTCTCAGGATTTACTGTAAAGTGTAGTGACTGTCTACTTGTAGGCGAACCTAGCAGCCAATTTACATGACAGCAATGACTGATTCCCAGTTTTTAAATTTTTGTAAACAAACGTCGGGAGTCAGGGTGAAAAGTTTTCCAAATTGAGTTTTCACATAAATTACGTAACTATAATTTAGAAAAAGAATCTGGAGCTGTCGGATTTGCAAGTTTCCTTTGGCTTCGTGTTATGAAGGTGGATCAATTCCAATTAATAATTAATAATCAATAATCGGGCAAACACATTAGCAGGAGCCTGCCATGTTGCAACCTATTGCAATCCATGGGCAGTCCATGTCCCAGCCTATGAGAAACGTACAGAGATAACTTTTCCACACACAATAAAAGCAAAACTGTAAAAAATGCGCTTGCAATTTTTAAATATGCTGGGAAGTAAATAAACAGTCCTCTTCACTCAGTTTAATTCCCTCTCCATCCCTCTATCAGGAAGTTCTCTGCGCTGGTGGAGTCTTAATAATCCTTGCCTCCATCCCATGGCCCAGACGTCTCAAAGTGGCTCACGGTATTTTACTGTGAAGTGTGTCAAAAGCGTCAGCCAGTTTTATGCACAGGGGCGAGGACAGGTCCTGACCATTCCAGTGCTTTGAGAGTTAAATGCTATACAAGTAGCGCACTGCCCAACTCCTTCGCTTTCTTGCAACTGTAGATCCACTTGATGACGCGGGCATTGCGCTCCACCACTGACAGAGACGAGGAGATCTGATCGTTCAGCTCCTCCTCCAGCAGCCGGTCGTTCTCACCGCTGTGCCTGGAGAACTCACTGTCCGAGTCGGCAGTGATGCTCACACTCCGGCCTCTAAAGGTGACATTGTCGGAAACCGAGGAGAAGTTCTCCCTCCCGATGTCCTCCACCACCTCGGGCTCCAGCCCACAGTACCTGAAGAAGCTGTCAAACTCAGAGAAGGCTTTGGAGTACCTGGAGCTGATATCGGACTGCGATCGGAGGACGCCTCTCCTCTTAAGATCCTTTGATCCCTGCCTGGTTATCTCTTTGCCCCGCACATCTGAGGGTGGCTCGAATTTCTGGGGACAAGTTGCCAGAGTCTGGGAGCTTGCGATGTCCGTTGAGGTGCCCTGAGGCTTGTCCATCGAGATGCCCTGAGGCTCATCCCCGACTTGCGCATCTCTGGCGGGCTCCTGGCACCTCACCCCCTCCCTTATGATGACCTTGGCCGGCTGGGGGGCAGCTTGGGGGGTTGCCATCTGCTTGTCCCTGAGAGAGGAGCTTTGGAACAGCCTCCGCACCAGGTTATTGCCTCTGGGGCTCTCGCCTGTGGCTCCCTTGACAAACTCACACTTCTGCCTGTAGATCACCAGCGAGTCCGGGCGCATTTGCCTCTTGGTGCTGTAACGTTTGGCGGTGAGCTGGCTCTGGAAGGGCTGGTGACGGCTGGCCTGTGACTGCGGTTGTCTCTGGCCTCCTGGCTTGGTCAACCCCAAGTCCAAACCCAAACCCCCTAGAGGGTGACCTGCACCGTTGACTGATGAACTCCTGTTGCTGCTACTGTTGCTGCTGTCACTGTTGTTGCTGCTGCTCTCAGAGTTGGAGCTCAAGCTCACTGCCAGCGGCTCCTGTTGCTGCTGAGGGGAGCTCATCACCTGGTGGCTCTTGACATACTTGGCTTTGTCAGCAGCCAACCTCTCCACAGCGCTCAGCCGGCCACGGCTCACGCCCTCTTCCACCACCTGCTTGCGGAGGTAGCTGGGACCCTTGTGAAATATCCTCAGCGGTAAAGAGGAACTCAGTTCCAGGCCAGGCTGCATTCTTCGACTGCCCGAGATTTCAGTCGGCATTGCCAGTTCTCTTCCCCGCAAAAAAACTTCAGATCTAAACGAAAACTTTTTTTCGGTATATCTAGAAATAAAACACACCCAAAATTAAACTCGCCCCCACTGTGTCACTTAAGCCAACCGGATACCTGGTTCTCCTCTTAATCTGGTTTGGTGATAAAGTCTTTTTCTCAGTCATTTCCAAGAAATAAAAACTTTTTTGTGTGTATATCTGTAAATAAAACACACCCCAAAAAATAAACACTCATCTCACTGTCACTTAAACCCTCCACATACATCGGGTTCTCTCTGGTTTGGTTTGGTAGTAAAGTATTTTTCTCTTTAATTTCCAAGAAATATGAACGTTTTGGGGGGTATATATAAATACACATAAATTAAAACACACCAAGAATTAATAATTCACCCCACTGTGACATAAACCCTCCAAACAACTTTAGTTTGTCTTTTTAAAGTCTTTTTTCTGCTTAATTTAGAGCACCGTGTACACATGTATGTGACTGTCAGGAAAAAAGACAGTAAGGGAATAGAAACTCATAAAATAATAACTCAAAAACTCCCCCCACTGTCACTTAAACCCTCCAAATACCAGGTTCCCCTCTTGATCTGGTTTGATAATAAAGTATTATTTTCCTTAATTTACCGCCATGTATCTATAGTGTGACAGTAAAGGGGGAAAAAAGAATAACTCACTTACCCCACTGTTACTTGAACAATCCAAACACACCAAGTTCTCTGTTGATCCGGATTGCTAAATAAGGTCTTTTTTTCTCCTTAATCTCCAGCACTTTCCCAGCACTGTGTCAGTGGTGTGTGTGTGACAGTCTGTGGAAATCAGGGGGCAGTGTGTGGGTTGGCTTCTGCTTGCTGTTGGTTGTCACAGGCTCACACTCTGCACTGCTCTGCACCACTTGCCTTGCTGCTGTCTGCTCTGTTTGACTGCTGTCTGGCTGGTTTGCTTGCTGACTCCCTCTGAGTTTGGATTGATTCACCTTTGCAAGCAACACTGCCCGCCTCCTTTCTCCTGCAACACAAGGCACACAGCAAATCATGGCTCAATGACATCATCTGGGAAGCAGGCTGTGTGTGCTTGGCTGTCAATGCGATGGGAGGGATGGGTTTGCCTCTTATCAGCCTAAAGTTGCCTTCAGCAAAGAGGAAAAACCTTAACGACTGTTTATTTAGAATATTCCATCCGCTGGTCTCTCTCTCTCACTTTCTCTCTGTCTTCCCGCACTCTCTCCCATCTGAGAATTTTAAGACGCGTTCGCTGGTGAGGAATTTATTGTCCTGGAGACAGTCTTGTCTGTTCAAAAAAAAAGTAATGTGTTCAAGGGGTATACATAATTTATGTCCCAAGGCAGTCAAGGGTTTGCACCCAAGCTTGTTCACCTGGCTGAAAAAAATTGGCACATCCTTGCGGAGTTATGAGTGTATTTGTCACCCTACTATATATTGTTCCACGTGTCAGCCTCACTCTGTTGCTCACTCTTGGAAATGATGCAGAAGTGAAACTTTATTTGGCTGAGTTTGAACCACATATGACACAAAAGTCCAATTTGAGCCCTGCTGAATTCTCACAGCTGTGACTTCCCAACTATCAGAAATCAGATTGCAAATCACCACTTTGTTTAATTGCATCAAAAATAGACTTTTATCCACTGGTCTATGAAGACAAGCTTCTGCTTTTAGAATCTGATCGGTACAGGTTCTTTCCTCGCAGGTCAAAAAAATACAATTCAATTAACATTTATATAAATCGTCTTTCACTTTGGGATGACCTCGCAAAGTGCTTACACATGTGGAACTCTCAGTTTGGTTTGCTGACTGGGCAGCCCATCTGGGGAGGGGAATTGAACGGAACGGGGAGAGGAAAGATGACCAGAAGTGCAGACCAAAAATATGATGTGTTATGCAAATAATTCTACCCCTGATGATCTCCGAATTAATGCTTTTAAATTATATTGTACATTAATTATCAATTTCAGTCAGAGTAATTGTTGTCTAAATGGAGAAGGGCTTTCAGTGTGGTGTCAGCTGAACAGGGCAAAAACATGCCTAACTTTTTGGAGTATTTTTGACTCAGAAAAGTATAGAATAAGCAATGTTACCACATCAGTTAATTTACTTAATTGCACTGCTCAGTCCAGCCATCTCTGTGAGTGTTGTTCCACCTTACATGTAACCAGCTTACCTAGCTATTTAAATGCTGTGTCCGATTTTTAAAAAAATCCATTACATTTCAAGCAGTTCCCAAGGTGACTGTGTGTATTTCCATTAAATTTTTGTGCCTCATTTTAAGAACCATTCTTCAGCATCAATTCAGTGTTTTTCTTCCACGAGCTGCTATCGAAACAAGTCACAACAGGTAAACCAGTGCTGAGCAGAGAGGGAGTAATGAGAACAAATGGGCCAAACATGGAGGCCATCAGTAGGCAATCAGACAACAGCTGCTTACTGTTGGGAGCTCCAATCCAAGCACAGGCCCTGAGTTTTAATTTACAAATTTTCAAAGATGGTAAATGATTTGGAGGATCAAGCATACTCTCAACCTAGTTCAGTTGGCTGCCTCAGGGTCAGATGCCTGTGGGTCCAAACCTCACGTCAGGGACTCTGAGGCTCAGAGTCCAGGCTGAGAGTGCATTGTTGTAGATGACATCCTTTGGATGAGATGTGAAATTGACACCTTCTCAGGTCTCATGATGTTATTTGAAAAGAGAAGGGTGTTTTTCCTGGTGTCCTGACCAACAGTCCTCCAGATTAATTGATCATTCACTTTATGGCTGATTATGCGACATTGCTGTCTGCAGATTGGCTGTGGTGTTTGCCTACAAATACACAGTATTTTACAGCAGTACCCTGTGAAGTGGTTTTTGACGCTATAAGTACCATAATTATTATTAACGGAAATAATTCTGCATCTAATGTTTGCAACCAGCTTTTATTGGGGTATGTGGAATTATTGGTGATAGGTTTGAGTTATGTTTCTTTTTATTAACCGAGTGTATTTTTGTCTTCACCAATTTTCTGCTAAGTTTCTCTCCTGACGATTATTTCTTCTGCTATAATACGGTTCTATGAATGCTGGCTGCCCTCTGTTTCCTCACCCAAATAGCTATTATTTATGTGCAGGTCTTGCTAGTGAGTGTTGACATGATTTGTGACTGCAAGTGTCACTGCTGTCAAGCAGGCTTCACATGTCTATACACTTATACTGTCCACAATCTGTCACTAGAAAATGCTCAAGAGCAGGACCCATTGATGGGGTTATTTCCTAACATCTATGCCATTTTGCCCACAAAACACACAGTCAATCCACTTTGCAGTATGTTCTGTGAAGCGCTTTGAGACGTCTCCAAAACGTGTAAGATGCTACATCAAATGCAAGGATTATTATTTATATTATTATGAGACCATTTGGAGCACTCCTAGTGGCAGCTGAGATCAACTAATACAGCTGAGAATAATAATCCTTGCATTTGATATAGCGCCTTATCACGTCTTCGAGTCGTCTCAAAGTGCTCCACAGAATATACTCTAAAGTGAGTTGACTATATATTTTGTGGGCGAAATGTGGCATCCAATTGCACACAGCAGTGTCTCACAAACAGTCGTGGATCGAGTGACCAATTTTTTTTCTTGGAAGGAATTATTACACCCGGAAAAGCGATCCGCCAATCAACTAACAACCGGGTTCCTACTTACTGCTAGGTAAACAGAAGCGTGTGGAGTAAGGAAACTTGCCCAATTTTTCACTCTGCCAGGAATAGTGATCATATAGTCAAATCTCACACCACAGCTCTAAACGGCTCAACTATTCACTCACTTTTGGAAGAACTTTAGGAGATAATATTTCATAAAACATTGTGTAAAATGTCTATATGTTCTCATAAGACTCTAGCAGATGGTGAGAATCAATTTCTACCAGAGGATTTATGAATCCTCTAGGCTTGATTTAGTATCAAGAATATCCTACAGGAATTTTCTATATCAGCAATTTGTCTCCAAAGAACTTTAATTTGAGTCATGACATATTTGTGTCATGCAGCACGATAAAGAGTGACAACAGTTCTATTTGTGTAGGATTTGAAATCCCCCTCCCACAAAGGGCTTCCAGTCAAGGGGTCCCAGCTCCCTGGGGGATCCCGAAAAGATTTGAAGAAGGGTTCCTAAAGTTGACACTGTTTTTTGTGTGAAAGTATTTTTATTGAGAAGTAAGCCCCCTCCTCCAATCCCCGCCCACCCCACCTCAATGTGAGTTATTGAAGTAAGTCAAACAAAGGTTGTCATTCTTCATTTTTGCTCGGGGCGACTCTTACTGAACAATGGAATTAAATGAGAAATTCTATGATGAGACAAGCTCACAGAAGAACAGACTTCCTTTCAATATACCAAGGACAGTCTAACATGTTGCTAATCTCAACAATGAAGGATGCACATCTTGACCTGATTTCCAGATAATGAAGTAGGCAGGGTGCAAGCAGAGGAACATTGGGGAAATAGGCTCAGTTTACAAATAAAGAGTCAAGGACAAGGGTACTTGACTGAAAAAAAATTAAGTTTATTCCATTTCCAGAAGGAAACAAAAAGGCAGTTTATCAAAGTCCATGTATCAAGAGATCAGATGAAATCTAAAATTGATAAAAAGTAAACATTGTTGCAATCCAAACAGATAATAAAAGGAAAGCCAAGGCACATACTGTATCAAGAATATAGGAAAGCTGCAAACGTGATAAGAAATGTTCAGAGGAAGGTCTCTGAGAGAAAATAGGATTTAAATGTAAGGCAGGTTTGCTAAAAGATGATGGAAACAACCTTGGTGTACAGATACGGAGGTCTTTAAAGGTGGCAGCAGGCAGCACTGTAGATAGGAACATTAAAAAGCAAACACAATCCATTTATATCTGGAGACATAGAATAAAAAGGAGGTAGTATTAAACTTATCCAAGACCTTGGTTGGGCCACAATTAGAGTATTATATACAGTTTGGGGTGCTCCATTAGAGGAAGAATATAAAAGTTTTGTAATAGAAAAGATGCAATGTAGATTAGCTGGAATGTTGCCAAGAATGAAGAGTTCCCATTATGAGGAGATATTTAATAAGATATGATTGTTTTCACTAGAGCTGAGAAGGTTAAAGGGTGACCTGATAGAGGTCAAGATTATGAAGGGTTGCGATAGGATAAGTAGTAATAGATTGTCTCCACTGGTCAAATCATTAGGAGGGCGGGATTAGATTATTTGACTCATGGAGAACAATACTAGCACAGATTTAGTGGGCCAAATGATCTGTTTCTTTGCTGTAATGTTCTTTGATTCTATGTACAAGCACATATGCCTTTTAACCTGCAATGTACCAGGTTTTCGTCAGGAGAGGACATGAGCGCACTACAATATGAGCTAAAGCACAATGGTTTGGTAAAACATCAATGATGTGTTAAAGTTGTTTATATCCCTAATCCTCTACTACAATAGCAATAGCTTTACACTGTGGGAACATGGTTGAAATTGCTCAGATTTTGTTCACCCCAGAGCAATCGGAGATAGGAGTCCAACATCCCATCAGTCTGGGTTGGTTTCTCTTAGGTGAAAGTACAGCGTTACAGCTAATTGTAATTTTGTTGTTGTAATTGCACTATTATCACCAAATTGTCAACCAACACACACATTTTCCTGAATAAGTTGATTAAATGGATTGCCTCCCTTTAAACACAGACTGCTTCTGACCTTTAATTTAATCATGATATCGAGGGCGAGGTTAATAATAATTCAATCAAGTCAGAATAGTGGGGTTGATAATCTCCCGCTGGAGTCCATTCACATCAGATCACTTAAAGATCCCGATTAATTTCAAGAAACGAACAATAGCAGCAAAGCACTCTGACATTGTAAATAATTGTGTTCTAATGTGAGTTTTAACCTGTCCACAAACCTGAACAATAATTGATCCTCTCAGATAAGTTAGATTGGGATTTGAAGGCTGCTCAGAATTAACCTGATGCTTGGTTACTTATAAACGTTCAC